GACTACCATCGAAAATCTGGAAGCGTTGGACAGCCATTTCGTACTGGTATGGGATTCATCAGCAGTGCCTACCCACGGCTCCTGCTAATCGCAGGATTCGAACCCGGGATATTAAGTCTTGCGCAAGAACGCTTGATTTGTTTGAAGCTTACTGGGCATAGGAAAGACACCGTAAGAAAGCCTCTTAGGGTTTTACTTAATGATAATAAGGCGAAAAATATATTTGAGGAACAACTAGAAAGACAGTTAGGCGACCATTTAAGCGATTCATATCCGGAAGCAGGATGGAATGATATCAAAAAGGCTGTGGAAACAGCAGTGATATCTGCTAGTAAGGTTGACCATAAGGCTAGAATGAAACCGTGGATCTCAGTAGCATCCACCGATCTGGTGGATGCCCGAAAACTCATCCCACCTGGTTCTGAGCATGATGAAGAACGAAGTCAACTTAGGCGCAGACTTATGAAAAGCCTACGTAACGATCGCGAACAGTGGTGGGTGGCGAAAGCAAAAGCGATGGAAAAAGGAGCGGCGATCGGCAACAGTAGACAACTTTTCTGACTTATCAAGGAAACTGGTATTAGGAATCCTAGTGTAAGTGAGACTATCTCAGAATATGACAGGACTATTATTTATTCTCAATCCAGGAGACTGGATCGATGGGCAGAACACTTTAGGGATCAGTTCAACTGGTCTCGAGCCACTCTTCGGTTACCCACGATCTCCAGTCATCCTGAATGGCAAATCGACCTAAGTCCCCCCAGTCTTAATTAAGTTGAAAAAGCGTTAGGAAATCTGAAGCGAGGACGAGCTGCGGGTCCTGATAGACTGACCCCTGAGATATTTAAGGATGGTGGTTTAGTTTTAGCAGCTACGTTGACTGAGATCTTAGCTAGAATCTGGGAACTGGACGCAATCCCATCCGACTGGTCTCAATCACTGATTGTCCCAATCTATAAGAAAGGACAAAAGTCTTCTTGTGACAATCACAGAGGAATAAGTCTAACTAATATAGTATCAAAAATATTAGCCTCAGTAATACTTCGACGCTTAACGAAAGCTCGTGAAGAGCAAACTCGAGAAAACCAGTCTGGTTTTCGACCTGGACGTGGCTGTATAGACCACATTTTCACACTACGACAGGTCCTGGAACACAGACACACATTTAGGCGCCCTACAATAGTTGTTTTCCTAGACCTTAAGGCGGCGTTTGACTCTGTGGATCGTGAGGTTCTGTGGCAGTGTCTGTCATTGAAAGGTGTACCAAAGAAGTACATTAACCTCATACAAGCTCTCTACTCAAACACCACTGGTCGAGTGAGAGCTTATGGCGAACTGTCACCGGAATTCTTTACTTCAAGTGGTGTCCGTCAGGGATGTCCACTCTCTCCATTCTTGTTTAATTTTATCATAGACATGCTCCTAGAAATGACCTTATCCTCGTCTGAATTTTCAGGAGTAGACCTTCTTCCAGGTGGCTCGCTTATTGACTTAGAATATGCCGATGACATAGTCCTACTTGGTGAAGACGCTGACAAAATGCAGAGTCTTCTGACTACCCTAAGCAACAATGCAAGCATGTTCGGGATGCGGTTTTCCCCCGCGAAATGCAAAATGTTGCTTCAAGATTGGGTTGCATCGGCACCTGAACTAGTGATAGGGAGTGAAGTAATCGAACGTGTAGACCGCTTCACTTATCTTGGGAGTCTCATCAGTGCTGATGGCCTGGTGACTGACAAAATCTCGGCACGGATACAGAAGGCTCGATTGGCTTTTGCCAACCTGCGTCACTTATGGCGTAGGCGAGATATCCGTTTGCTGACTAAAGGACGAGTGTACTGCGCAGCAGTTCGCTCCGTCTTACTTTATGGCTGTGAAACATGGCCAATGAGAGTAGAAGATACTCGTCGGTTATTGGTTTTCGATCATAGGTGTCTTCGAAGCATTGCTCATATACCGTGGGACAACCGAGTTAGCAACGCTGTTATTAGGAAACGGGTGCTAGGTAAGAATGGCAGATCAATCGATGAAGTGGTGGAACTTCATCAGTTGAGGTGGTTGGGACACGTGTTGCGTATGCCTAACCACCGACTGCCTCGTCGAGCTTTGTTTTGTGGTGTAGGAATAGGTTGGAAGAAAGCTAGGGGCGGCCAGACCAAAAATGGCAGAACTCCATGAAGTCATTGACGAGTGGACTTAGCCATGTTGGTAATTGCCGACTACCTGGTTGGGGTCCGCGAGATGATAATAATCGATGGTTAGAGACCTTGAATGACATGGCTAAAAATCGTTCGCAATGGCGCCAGTGCATTTATTCTTTGTGTTCTCTCAAATCCTAATCTTCTGGATTCTTCAACACCTCTAGTTTTGACTTTCTAAACTTATCTCATTGAATCGTACTTCGTGAATAATATCTTCTAATTCTAACCTCTCCGATCACTTCTAATACCTTTACTACCTCTTCTACTATTGGATTTGAATTGACAATTACATCTCTGTGCTGATGTGGTATGGCGACATGAACTGATGTACTTACGTACGAAGTTCTACGTTGCAACTGACTGACTGACTGACTGCAAGAACGCTTGACCTAAGGACCAATGAGCCATCCATTGTCTTCGGGATTTTCTGACTACACCCGAAAGGTTTGAACTCCACTGATCACAACCTAAATTGATCAGATTTAGACAATAACACCGTTGGATGCCGGCTCAGTGATACAGAGGTTAGGCGTTCGCACACTAGACCGAAAGTCCGCGGTCGAATACCAAGAGTATCAAGGGTCGTGGATGCACACTGCCGATGAGACCCAAAACAGAACGAAACAGCCATCCAATGCTTCCAGATATTCGATGGTGGCCTACAGTTGATTAGTTCATGACTTCAAGCTATTGTTTGTCCATTGAAATTACACTAACTGATTATTAAGAAGAATAATGAGATATGTTTTTTTAATATTCAGAATGACTAATTAAAATTTTAATTTAACCTTCTATGTAATATGACAATTTTCGTCAATAAAACACATTGAATTTTATTAAAGTACAATAGTATTTATGTAGATCGTTCATTTTTCTGTTGACATTTTGTCAAAGTTAACATATTTACCCGATTATGACATAAATTCCATTCGATATCTGATTTTTATAAATAATTCTTGACAAAATTTTTCCTTATATTCTTCCATATTATATTGTTTTTTACTAGAGAATACTAAATACTTTATCAAATGTAATTGATTTTAAATACAATTGTACAACTTAAGTGAATGATATTGTCGGAAAAATAATAGTTTCTTTGTTGAATTGCTTTTATTCACTTTCATTTCACACTTCATAGCAAAACTACAGAAGAACTTGAAATTTTTATGTACCTGGGCAGAATCCCTTATCAACAATAGGGATCACATGCCGATGGAAAGACACCGATTGCGAAAGTAGATATAGCATTTCTGCATCTGTCAGTCAACGATAAAGAGTGAATTTTTGATACGAACGTTAAAACAGTCCTTTTGTATAAAGGAGAAACTTGGAGAACTATGAAAACCATCTTTCATAAAAATACAAGTATCTATAAATAGTTGTTTACAACCGATTTCCCGGGTGCATAGATCAAACACCATCGACAACATTCTCTTCTGGTAAAGAATAAACTCGTTTCCAGATGAGTGGGAAATTTAAAAAAACAAACAAGGAAGTGGATAGTGCACATATTCAAGAAATCACTTAACTGCGTCACAAGGAAAACTTAAACTAGGAATCCTCGAATCGATATGAAAAGAGGTTGACCGGAAAACATATTGTGATGGGAGTTGGAGGCAATCATGAAAAGAATAAAGAACGATTGGGAAGAACTGGAAAATAGAGCCTGGGGAGAATAGGTTGGAGAGTCCTAGTCAGTTGCCTATACTCTATGAGGGATTACAGGCATAAGTTATGTAAATAAATATTCGGACAACTCAGCATTGTAAAGCGTGAGAAAGGTACTTGGCGAATGTAATAGAAGTTAGACGCTCAGTTTTGCAGATGGATTGGAGTGGTATGTATATACCATTCGATTTCAGCTCAGCGATCTCGATAATAAGAGCCTTTGCCCAAGTTCATAGAACTTGTTTTCGACTCTATATGACAGGGCAGTGAATATGCACTTGTTTAAGAACTTCATATTCGAATGAAGTATATGTCCCATGCCTTCATATATTGAGTAACTTATCTAATAATAGAATTCAGAATAACCTTTTCATCGTATTTCAGTGTACCTGCTTCTAACTTTTGATGTTTATTCTAATGATACTTGATTATAGTGCTTTGAATACCAGCGTGTTGTCGATTAATCTAAGGAATGCAAATGGTCAGTAACTTATTAAACTGACATCACTGTCATAGAAAGAGTTCATAATATCTTTTTATGAATAACCAACTCTCTGATTTAGATACATTGGATTTCTAAATTTTAAATAGGATGAAATATGTGTCCTTAGTTTTATAATTTGAATTTGGCAATTTTTTTTAATAATAATCATTCACCACTCAAATTTAAATCGACACAAACAGTTCATTATAGATTTCATATTCATATTGTTTATTTGGAGAACGATCTTTGGTTAGATTAAGTTATTTGACACCTTATATTTGTGCTCTCTAGTGACTATCTCCGTGAGGAAATTATTGGAGTTCTAGTGAGATGTAACTAGTGGAGTTTTAGCCCTGTAGGATGTAGGCAGTAATTACCTAAGACAGTGGGTGAGGTTGCGCGAAATCCTTAGATTGATTAAAGTTAAACACTAACGCCATTGTATGTGTGTTTATGTGCGAGACCGAAAGTTCTAGGTACGAATCCTTAGAGTAGTAGGAGTCGTGGATGCGTACTGCCACTGATGAGTCCCATTCTAAGGCAAAACGTCCATTCAATGCTTCTAGGTATCTAATAGTGGTCTAACAATGATTCACTCATGATTTCAGTAATTGAAACTGTCTTTTTATCTTTTTTTACTCTTTTAGTCACAATCAACAGAGGATCTTTATATTAAATGGTTAAATGATCAGTTAGCTAAGGCAACACCTCCAATGATTGTATATGATTTATGCGAAGAAAGTATATGCAATGGTGTAGCTATTGGTGTACTTTTAGAAATTATCGGTAAGTTATCATTTCTTAATAATTTTTTTTTCAATTGAATAACTTGTTCATGTGTATTGGTAATAAGCAAGAATAGATTTTATAAAAAAATAAACTTTTATTCAAAATGAATGTTAACGCTTATTTCCTCTAATATCAAAAGTCAATATTTCTCACAATCGATAAGCATATTTTCATCATTTGTCTTAAAATATTCACACCTTTCATCCTCTTAATTCATTTTTTTTCTTCTGAAATCATATCTCCATATATCTGATCATTTCTGTGAAATTAGATACAGTTCTCTTTATTATCTTGAAGAGAGAGAGAGAGAGCCAGGACTAAGTTTTAGTAGAATATGATGAATTCATTTGTTTCTTCGAACTAGCTGCTTTAACTGAAATTCGCCGAACCACCAAATGCCTCGACGAGCTTTGTTTTGTAGTGTAGGAGTAGGTTGGTAAAAAGTTAGGGGCGGCCAGACCAAAACATGGCAGAAATCCATGAAGTCATTGACAAGTGGACTGAGTCATGTCGGTAGTTGTCGACTACCTGGTTGGGGTCCACGAGGTGATAATAATCGATGGTTAGAGACCCTGAATGACATGGCTCAAAACCGTTTGCAATGGCGCCGGTGTATTTATTCTTTGTTTTCTCTCAAATCCTAATCTTCTGAATTCTTCAACACCTCTAGTTTTGGCTTTCTAAACTTTTCTCACTGTATCATACTTCTTGAATAATATCTTCTAATCCTAACCTCTCCGATTACTTCTAATACCTTTACTACCTCTTCTACTATTGGATTTGAATTGACAATCATATCTCTGTGCTGATGTGGTATGACAACATGAACTGATGTATTTATGTAAGAAGTTCTACGTTGCATCAGACTGACTGATTGATCATACACCAGTGTCGATAATTCCGATAAACGGATATCTTGCATTTTTTCAAGATGGTTCATTAGCAGTCAGGTTCCAGTTTTCTAAAGTTTCCTCAAGTCGTTGTTATTACCCACCTGAAACTTGACTGGTGTGTTCAACAAAAGGTAGTTGTCAGTCTTTCTTTGCTTTCGTAATAAAGATTCCTTTATCAGATGACAAAGTGTTATCCAACTGTTTAGTTATATCATTACATCTTATTTCATCTGCCTTCTAGAATAATAATCCTCATTCAACTAATTAAGCTTCACTCATTTTATTCTTATTTACTACCTGTGTTTTTTTCATTGCATAACCACTTGCTAATTGTTGTAACGCTTACTTAAATAATTCCCAGCTAAATCCTATTGCTTAGTATTCTCTGACCACAATACACTGGACAAGTTCCCAAGAATCAAAACACGGTTGAACAGGAAAAGATTATGAGATGGTGGAGAAAACTTGTAGCTCAGGTGGATGATTGTGGTGGTGTTTTGTTCTCTGAGCTGGTTGTTTTGGTTGTGGAGCTTTCATTGTTCTTCTGAACAACATCATCAGCACGAACTTCAGATAGAAGTTCGTGCTGATGATGTTGTTCAGAAGAACAATGAAAGCTCCACAACCAAAACAACCAGCTCAGAGAACAAAACACCACCACAAGGAAAAGATTATATTCCAAATAGCAAGGTTAAATGGAATAAGACGCCAAAGGTGATGGCGAAGGTGTTGGCAAAGGCGAAGGCAAAAGTAGATACGACGTTAGTTTATTTATAGCATTTACATGAGAAGCTTCTGGATAAAAATTCACGTGATCGACTGGATTAGATTTAGCCAATCAGCACGCAGCTAACAATACGAGAATTTTCTATCCTGTTCTCCAATAATCGATCAGGCGCTGATTGGATAGGAAATCAGCCAATCAGTGCGTAGCAACGTAGTCATGCTTTAATTCCATCTATGTCCCAATAACACCAATGTTATACTGTATAAGTTATATATTTACTTTATTCAGTCTGTTACACTTTTGTTATACTATACTGGCGAGTATTCAATCAAATCAGCTTCCAACTAAGGTGTTTTATGTCAGTAATTGTAAATTCAATTTGTTATCAAGAGTTTTTTTTATTTTTGTGGTTATATTTTAAACGAACACTTGAATATGTTTTGAAAAAAAAATCCCTTCAATTTCCATGTATATCACGCTTAGGTGAATCCTGATTGTGCAATGGTGGTAATAAGAAGCCTAAATACAGATTCAGTTGGATGAATTTATTTCAAGATATCGTTCTTGTAGACAGACATGTAAATGAAAAGCATACAAGTAGGGCGAAGTGATTTGAGGCGGAGTAAGCCGGCGAGTCAACTCCATGCGATGAAGTCAGTCAAAATAAGTTAGACCTGCAATAAGCGAATCAAGCGATGCATACACAATCGAATAGAAATAACCAGGATATGAGCCATTAGTTGACAAGGTTAGAAGACGAGTAAATAATAGCTTAAGCAAAATGGACTAGTTAATTTTTCCGAAGGCTTGGGCTTGAGATAAAGGTACATGCACTTCAAATTGTTACGGATTGTAAACAGCTGATGAGAAATAGCAAATGATTTCACGTAATTCTACTGAAATCTTTGTTCTTGTCCTCATCCTTATTATCAATAAAACTGTTACTTTCTCTAGTATTCTGACATTCATTTTGATAGTTTCATACATTGAAATTGTTTACTTACTTACTTAGTTACTTACGCCTGTTACCCCCAATGAAGTATAGACAGCCTATCAGTTCTGGTTAGCGTTGTTTTTAGTGACTTAGTTTTCTACTGGGGTAGGGTCTCTAACCAAACACACCCAACCCTCCTCCTTTATCCGGACTTGAAACCAGCAGTAGCCTCAAAGGAGTATTTTGACATTATTTGGTAATATTTAGAGGATGCATATTGCTTAAAACAGGTTGTATTTCTTCATTGTTTAAATGTGTAGACTTTTATTAATCGTTATTAAATGAAAAGAAACATACATGTTCAACAAAACGTGTTTGTTTGATAGTTGTAGTAGATTTGATTTTTTTTTATTTTCAAAGAGATTTATTGATCAATAATAGTTTAACACAAGTTACATGCATAAAATCATACCTAGTACATTTTTATTACTTTTTCATTAGAAAAAAAAATACAATTGAAAATATTTCTTGTTTCTTTTGTGTTGTCGTTACTTATGCTCAGTAGGTCTTTTTTCTCTTTACAAAAAGTCTCGTAGATTTTTTTCAGTCTTATTCTCCCATCAATTATCATTTAAAAAACTATGGTAGTTAAGTTTATTTTGCTTTTTTTTTCATAATCGGTGTTCTTTTCAACTTTAAAATAACAAGAATTTATTATTGATAATTAATGACGTGTGTACACTTAATTTTTCATCATCCTACAAGCAATAACAGCTGAAAAATCAACTGAAAAGAAGAGAGGCGAAGAAAATCACGTCATTGATAGGATGATGTAGAGAATTTTGTTGATATAATTCGTTATCTAATTACTAGGAATTCAGTGATATGACAGCTTGCCTAGGCCTGTTGCCCCTAATGGATCATAGGCCGCCAATCAGATAATTAATTTTCTGGTTAGGGTTTCCTTAGTGAGTTGAATTTCTACGAGATGGTGTCGCTAACTCTATGACCAACCCTCCCTCCCTTTTATCCAGGCTTGGGATTGGTGGTTACCATTTAGAAGTGCTGCAAGTGGATTTATACATAAATAATTTCACTTTTAATATATTGTTATCAGTTTAATGTGGTTTTGTTCTGTTTACAATTTAAATCTTTCATACTCCTTTCCAAATCAATGTGAATTCAGAGCTCAAGTTTTTTTTCTGTTTTCAATTAGGATTTCATTTTATCGAACTAGATGATTGATTGTTGAAGTTTTTTTTCTTATCGTCCCTCTAAACATAAACATTAGCAAATTTAAGAAGATTAACTTATAATCAGTGACATCATAGAATATAGCTTGCTTACTACTTTTAACTGTTCTTCTCCATAAGTCTTTAACTCCACGTAACATTATTGACTAATTTACATGATGGTTTAACGCGTTCTGCTCATCTTGTTCAACCTAAGTTTAAAAATTCCAAATGGATTAAGCCTACTGAAAAAGAAAATAACCACACAAAGATTAGGAAATGATGAATCGTTGGTTATTAGACCATAGCTATTAAAAATCAGGAAGAGATAAGCAGCCGTTTCGTCTGAATATGGGACTTATCAACAATGCGCTGTTGGGAACCGAACCCGAAACCTTTAGTCTTGTGCGCGAACACTTAACCTCTAAACTACTGAGTCAGCATCCAATGACGTTAATGTTTAACTTTGATCAATATAAGGCATTGCGCAATCTCATCCACCGTCTTCAATGATTACTGCATCACACCCGAACAGGGTTGAACTGCAATGGTCACGACTTCTCACTAGATCTCGAATAAACTTCTTCACAGAGCTAGTCACTAGTGAGCTCATGATAATTTTCAATATGGAGTTGTGAAATTGTTAAGCATTCTTGAGACAGACCGAAAATCCTTGGTTCGATTGCTGAGAGTGAATTTGTTGGTGCGCACTGTTGATGAGCCCCATACTCAGACGAAACAGGCCAACTAATTCTTCCAGGGTTCTAATAATGGTTGAACATTGATCAATTCATGATTCCAAATGAAACTCAACAATCTTCATAACTCTCTAATTAAAAAACAATACAAGTTTTGTTATTTAATGAATCTAGTCACGTATTTATTGAAATTTTTGAAATTTTTCTATCATTCTTATTCATCATCATCATCATCATCATCATCATACTCATTCATTAAAAACATATTTTTGCAGTAATCATTGTCATAATGATTATACTCACTCATCAATCATAAAATGGAATCCCTTTATTAAAAGAATTTCGGAATTTCGGAAAAAAATATTCCAACAGTAAAGAATAAATGAGAAAAATTTTTTTTGCAAAAAACAATTAAAATGCACTTCAATCATTACTGACTGATTTGTGTATAATTATAAATGCATTGTTGTGGTACAAGTAAGTACCTACAGCGGATTATTTTTCTTCTAATGCAGACAGAAGTGAAAAATTAAGGCATAAGTAATAGCAATGCTCACTATCAGAAAAATGAAAAACTAGTGTTGATGCTTGTTTTGGCATGAGACTTCTAAAAGAAAAAAAAACAAGTTGGGTGTTTTTGTTTTCTAAAAGAAAATAATTAATGAGATGAATTTAGTGTGTATTTTACAAATAGAGTATTATTGTGGTACGAGCTACTTATAATTAGTATATGACGTAAGTGTCAACGTAATGTCTGGCAGCAGAAGATGGGGGAAGATCAAGAGAGGAAGAGTTAGAAGAACACAATGGAATTTGTATGAAACGCATGAATAGTGACAATGGATTGATATTTTTTCCAACAGGAACAGTCCGGTTCGATATGATGAACTGTTATTTTGCAAATTAACGATTTACGATATGGTTTTCCTATTTTACTGAGTAAATCTGTAATTTTCGTTAAATACAATCAGGTTGTTTTTACACACATTGAACTCAATGAATGAGTCGTTCGGTTTTTTTATAACTGGATATCCTGTGGCTGGATGAAATAGGGTTTAGTGAGCGTCGTTTCAAGTGCCATAGCAACAGAAGTTAATCAATGAACTCAGTGATAAAAATTACTAAGTATTTAGAGTTCTTACAGTTTCACTTGTGAAATGCGAGACACTTACAGGTGTCAACATTTTTAGAGGATTTCTGAAGGAAGACATAACCATCTATACTGTGAACAAAGGATAATAATTAATTTTATATCAGTTTGTCAAAAAAATTGTGAGATTTTGAAAGAGTCATGATTTAATTGAAATTGAATTCTTTGTACTGAGTAGTTTAAGCATGTAATTTTGATGATGTTCATCTTTGTTTACGTGTACACTATTTGAGTTTTGAATGTCTCAACAAAACCTACTTTACTTACTTACACCTGTTAAGTTAAACCCCATAGCGCATAGGTTGATGACCAACACTATTCAACCAACTCTATCCTGTGACTTCATTTCTAGTTTTATCCAATAGCTGTTCATTCTTTAGATATCTGCTTCCAATTTTCGACGTAAAGTGTACTTTGGTCTTCCTACCTTCCACTGGCCTTAGGGATTCCAAGTTAGGTCTTGTTATACAACACAGTTGGGTGCTTTCCGTAATTTATATACTATCTACCTTGAGAGAAATTTCCTAATATCTTCATCATCTGGAGTTTGATTTGTTCTCTGCAATAGTAGGTTGCTCAGGAACAGATGTTCTGCTGGAAAAACATCAAAATCTCTTATAGATGGAATGTGCAAGTGGTCATAAGTTTTTCAGAAGTTTTGACACTTAAACGAATCGGCCCATCCAAAGAAAACAGTTTGAAAAAACATTATCATCAATCATAAGACCAACAATCTAATCACAGGAGGAAAAATAAGATCAAAATGCATATGAAAAAAATAATCGAACATTCTATTTGGTTTGTTCCTTTTAAGAGTTCGAATAAAGCCAAAAACAACAACAACAATCATGGAAATTCAAATCCAACAAACCAAGATGTTCGTCCATTTTTCAGGAATTTTCAAAGCTCACTTTTATCTAAAGTTCAAAAAGTCAAACGGGACATCTACATTTAATTAAATCAGTTCAGAAAACCTAATTTTTAAAAGGATATAATTTTCCCAGTTGAAAACCTTCTTCCCTGTGAATAGCTTATATTCATCAGAAGCAGGTGCATATCACCTGTTACTTATATCTGTTTCGGTATTAAGTTATGGGGATTGTTGAGTTTCAATGAAACTATGAACCAAGCAGTGTTAAATAACCATTAGAAACCTAGAAGAACTGGATAGCCTCATCGTTGTAGTGTGGGACTAATCGATAGTATGCATCCATAACGCTATACAAAAGGAATCAAACGCAAGACTTTCTGTCTCGCATGCGAACTTTTACTTCCAACACCATTCATTTAGCATCCTGCGGTGTTAATGTCTAACTTGAATTTATTCACGATATTGAGCAAACATCTTCCATTGTCTTCGGTGGGTAAATGTATCATACCAGATAAGGCTGAACTCATATTAGGACGGTTTCTTACTAGAACTCAGAGAATTCCCTGACGAAGTTAGTCACCAGTTAGCACATGATTAATGTCAGTATGGGATTGTGGAGGTTGTTGCAATTTGTTGAAATCATGAATTAAACAATGATAATTATTATTTCCACACTGATAGATAATTAAAACATTATTTAATACAGAAAAGTTGTTAATATTTATCACTTTGAGGTCACTGTCAAAAAGTAGTTTGATTTTATTAAGCTTTTATAACTCTTTCCTGGTACACTGTATTTTTCCTAATCGCATTCATGAAACAGTTATCTCATCAAAGACTTACAAAAATGATCATTATCTTCCGTTAGTCTCGCTTATTTGTGGACAGTAAAAAGTCATATGTGTACATGAATCTAAATTTTTACAAAAAATCTTAGTTGAATACACTACTATATTATTGCAATAAATTGATACTCTGTAAATCAATTTTATCAAATTATAATGATACTACTATTTTGATAATAACAGTAGTACTACTCTTAGTGCTATATTATGACCTTGTTTTTATGTCTAAAAGTAGTTGACATGTATTTATATTGATCATAAATTAATCATTAAAAAAGATTATTATCTTCATGTGATCATGAAGAAATCGATAATGATGTCCTTGTGTTTAATTGTTTGACTATTTAAAATAAAAAGGTTTCATCTATCTGGTCAATATGACATAATTCATATATTTTGATAAGTGTACTATATTCATGTGTTTATTTGTTAAAACAATTATCTTTTCAAACTATTTTTCTTATGACAGATTAGTATTATTATCATTATTATTATTAATATTATGCACTGTAATGTGTCAATTCTAGGTATTTACATTTCTAATGCGTGTATGAATATGTGAGAGTACTTATGTAATGAATTTCAACAAACTAGATATTTTCCTTGTTCTATCCTAATACTTATTTCATTTCTGATAAACAGTTTATATGAAGTTTATTGATTGAAAACAGACTGTTTTGTCTTATGCAATTCCAGAGAGAGAGAGAGAGAGAGAGAGAGCGCATAATAAGGATGGATCTTAAGCATGATGTCGTAGAGCTATTGAGTCATGGATTTACAGTTGTATATTTTTAGCTAAAAAGATGTTTTGCGATGCAACTGTTTTTAATTCCTTTGAGTTTTTTCCCCGACTCCTTGATACTAGAAAAAACTTTTATTGATTATTAACTGAGTAGGATTTAATGAATTGTTTTGTCTAGCCGATTCGATGCTGAATCGAATTCTGTCAGTGTGTAAATTGTGTTAGGTGGTTGCAGTCAATGATTACTACCCAGTGATCTATCATACTAAAAACATCATTGCTACAGGAGGACATCAGAGGCTTGAAATGTCCATTGACAACGATGTCTCAATCTGTAAGGCTGCATGAAATTGGCTTAAATCATACGGAGAACGTAAACTCAATTAAGATTTCAGAAAGTGGTAGAAAAGATTTTTGAAAAGGTTTGGAGTCTCTTTCCAGTCACTAAAAATCATTTAATGCTTTCAATGAAAATTAATCAGATGAAAAATGAAGTGATGGATAATGAAGTGGGAGTGTGTACTTTTTCTAAGCATTTATATAGAAACATCTGTTTATTTACTGTTTATATCTGTTGTCAGTAGTTTTTGCTTTAATTTGTGAAATTTGCATTGCATTGAGTTTTATGAATAGCATGGAAAAATAGCAATGGTCATAAAAATTTAGAATGGTCTTCCACGAAGACCGAATATCTAACTAATGAGGATATTTTTTACTAAATGAACAGTCAGTAAGTAAGAGGTAAAACCAGCTCTAATCTCATCTTGTTTGGAACTCATCAAACGGATGTACCTGCACCCCACTGTTGAAGTTTTCAACAGAATTCGAACCAAGGACCTTTTATTTGAAAATTCAACTCACCATCACTGTATCATTGTACTGGTTTGTGTAACGGGCAGAAAATGTGATTCCTCTGTAATGGTGTAGGGACATAAGGAGACGAATCTTAAACAGAAAGAAATGATCCTCTCAGATTTCATTTCTAGTTATTATCAGACCCTAATTAAGATTCTTATAGCTTATTAGTAGTATCGATTTATTACCAGAAGAGGCTGATTAATCACACTTGTTAACGTTGACAAGATAAAGATTGAAACTCTTGTAAAGTGCTTGTTACACATTTGAAAACTATTTGGGCCTTGTTAACCATAACTTCCATTCATTTTGAAATTGTTTTCTTCTTTCAAACAAAGGTGAAATAAAAATTGATGGTCTATTGTTACAGCCAATTACAATTGTAGAACGTTTACATAATATTCATGAAGTATTTAGTGTATTAAGACGTTTAAATGTAAAAATCAATAATATCCAACCTGAAGGTAAGTGATAAAATTTTCTTTTATTCCAACTATCTACTTATTTACGGAAACAGTAATATATAAAATGTTATGTAGAAGTTAATGACTGACTATAAAAACTTAATCGTCATAACGACACCAACTAATTATTCTGAAAATGAAAATAATCATGACTATTAGTGAAAATTCTACTATACAATCCAAATAATATGTATACATTTTACAGTAAATGAGCAATAGCCTAAGCTAGATTATTAATAATTGACTTGCACATCAAATAATGGGCGTATATTTTCATCTAAATTATGAATTTGACCGTAAGATGTTATTTGATCTGTGAAGACGTATCCAAGGTATCATAGCATGAATATTTAAAACTGAATATAGGCAGTGTAGTTGAATGAGCTTCACTAAATGAATCTTGGGAACATCAGTACTGAGAAATAGGCACATCCAAAACAACACATTTCGTGGAGCATAGGAAGCAGACATGCAAAGAATCAACAGTAATTGAATAGAACTGAAAAGAAGGCCCAGTAGATGTTAGGATGGAGATTATTAGTCTGCATTTGATGTTGCATTGAGTGCAACAGGCTTAAGTATGCAAGTAAGTGATAAGTTCGTCACTTAGTATGCTTGAGGCTATTACGAGATTACCTTAGTCGATAAACGCGAACGAGACAATTACCAGCTTCCAGGGAGGCTACCTTGAATACCCAAAGTCGAAATAAAAGGCTTTGTAAGCGTAGAAGTATATTCTACAAACACCAAGCAATCACAGTACAATCACGCATACAACATAGAAACGTCCTTGAGACAGTTAAGAAAATAGCACACTAAAATGCACAGCAGCCAATCACAGCCTGGTGGAGATTGAAATCCCAAGGTCATCTGATCAGCCCATGCTGGCAAAACGTGAAAACCAAAATACGGCATTATCAAGCGAATTTTGGGGATCTAACATCCCCAACACTCCTCCCCTTTTTAATAGCGTGTTCTCCTGGGGTCGACTTGCATCTTGACTATTGTTCGCCACTGTCTGAGGGGATACCTTCGGGAATGAAGAACAGCTTGCTGCTGAGTTTCTTCTCGTGGCGGGGCTCACGGTAGGTTGAAGGTATCCAGCAAGATGTCAAGTGGAAGGCTTTCTGCTCTTGATGGGCGATCTGGGGCTAGCCGTCTGCGTATCTGATTCCGATGACGTGACCATTTATCACCTCCTACCTCTACTTCGAACATAACTCGACCAACCCTTCTGACCACTCTTGCTTCTACCCAAGGACCATGGTTCGTTCTGTAGTCGCGGGCAAACACAAGGCATCCTACTTCGTAAGCGGATTGTCTTTGCTGCTTTGTCTCTACTGATGAGGGTGCATTAGTCGGATGCATCAGGCTGTGGATCGTTTTCAATCTTCTTCCCATCAGGATTTCAGCTGGGGACTTTTGCTCCGGTAACAATTCATTTGGTGTTGTCCGATAGACGTACAAGAAATTTTGTAACGCTTCGGCTGGCGTCCCCTCCCCTTTTGACTTAAGCAATGCTCTTTTAAACGGCATTATCAAGCGAATTTTGGGGATCTAACATCCCCAACAGTAAGTCGATAATGACTGCTAATAAAATAGTTTAGGAATAATAAACAGGCGAAAGTTTTTACACTTCACATCGACCTTTTTCATGATCAGTTATCTTTTTTCCTTTTTGTTTCATTTCTCAAAAACACTTCTTTTCTTTCTTTTTTCTTCTAGATATCATGGAAGGTGATAAACAGACGATATTACAATTATTATATGCAATTAATGATTATTTTATGCCAAGAATTATAACAAAATCGAATAAAATGTTAATGACCAGTAATAATAATAATAATAATAATGATATTGATTCTAGAATGGATTCAACTGGTGTAAGAAATAATTCATTGATTATATGTAATTTTATTAAAAAAAGCACAAATTAATGTTTATATATGTTTAAACTAGACATGAAATAATTCTATTAGAGATTATAGATAATAAGTTCTGTTTTTCTCAATTTTCACTAATATGATATTTATCAACAAAATGTATCTGAAGAAGTTTTGAAGAAATCGTTAGGATGGATAGATAGTTTGAGGGTGTGGAGCTTTCATTGTTCATTTGAAATAACAACATTATCAGTACGCAATTCTGTTGGGTATGTTAGATCCTCAGAACTTGCTTTATAAATGCCTGATTTTGGATTTCTCGTTTGCCAACATGGGCTGATCAGTTGATCTTGAGATTTCATTTCCCACCAGGAAAATCCATGGCTGTGATTGGCTACTATGTATTTTAGTGTGCTATTTTCTTCACTGTCCCAAGGACGTTTCTACTATGTATAAATAAACGAGAGTTGTATGCTTGATAGTATTGTGATTGCTGGATGTTTGTAGAATATACTTTCTACGCTTATAAAGCCTTTTGTTTACAGCTTGGGATTCAAGGTAGCCTATCTGGACGCTGGTAATTGTCTCGTTCGCGTTTATTGACTAAGGTGAACTCGTAATAGCTTCAAGCGTACCTAGTAACGAAACGTACAAATTCAGGTAGGCAGAAGCGGAGTATTCCAATTTCTCTGCATATGACTCAGACCATTGAATGTTCTTTATATTCACTTTATGTAGTATTTCAACATTGTTCCAATTGAATGTATGTTTAAAGTTGTCCAAATGCATTGATATACGGGAGAATTTGTAACATGATGTTTAAATACTGGTTGATGTTCACTCAGGTGGAGCAGAAGAGATAATTTTTGGTTTTTTCTGTTGTCATTTTGTTGTTCTTCGATCCACCTAGGATTGATTGAAGTGATTTTGTTGGCTTGTCTGCTATACCTATTCCAAACGGCTTCAATATTCTTGTTGCCATTTCTGATGTCTTTTATGTATGGTAGAATTATCCGTTTGTTGGTTTGAATACTTGATTTCCCTTTTGTTGATAAGTTATGTTGATATTCTTGATGAAGTTGCGTGGATATCCATTGCTCTGAAAGACAGACGTCAGATATCTTGCTTCGTTTTTTCGTGACTCATGTATGCTGCAGTGTGTGTTCTCTCTCTTCAATAAATTTTGTACGCAGTCGGTTTTATAAGTTCCTGGGTTGTTGCTACTGTAGTTGAGAATTGGATTTGTGCTGGTTGGCTTCCAATGTACTTGAGCCTGAAGTTTTTCTGTGTCAGTTCTGGTTATTAATACATCCAGGAATGATAATTTTTTTCATTGTAAATTTTAATGTCACCAACGACATCCTACATTAGATAGTAAGTGTTCTCCAGTTCATTATTTTTGATAATAACGAATGTGTCGTCTGCATAAGGAACCCATTGTTTGGCCTTACCAAGGGAAATAATTGAGGCTTTTATTCTCTAAATCACTACTTCTGCAATAAGTCCTGATATTGGTGATCCAATTGATGTTCCTCTCATTTATTCGTAGATTTTGCTATTGAATGGGAAATATGTTGTTAAGCAACAATCGATGAGTTCTATTAGACTTTGACTTTAAAGTTTTGTGTACTTTGGGAGATTTGCACCGTTGGCAAAGGGCAGGAATAGAGTTCTTTATCTAACCTTGGTTCAGTTGAAGTGAATAAGGCTGTTGCATAGAAGGATATCATTAATTCGTCGTTGTCAATTTGAGTCTCCTTAAGTTTATCCAGGAATTGTTTGGGAGATTAAATGGAGTGATTGGATGATTCCGTGACATGTTTTTATATTTTTCAAAATTTCTCTTGATAAGTTCTAGGTTGCTATTCCAGGGACCGATACAATTAGCCAGAGTGAAATGTTGCGTTTGTGTAGTTTCGACCTACCATAACATCATGGGATAACTGATCCACTGGATTTCATTCTCCATTGATCTTGTTTTTAATATTTTATCCTGCTTTGCCAAGCTTATTTAAAGTCTTTGAAATTCGGTCATCTAACCTCTTTATTGTATTTGTGTCCATTGGTTTATAAAGACTTTTATTCATCAGTAGTTCCTCAACTTTCCTGGTATATTCTTTCTTATCTTTGATTAATATATATATTGAGCGGTATGACTGTTAGAGGTTTAATTATAATGAGATATGTTTGACAAACAAGCTATCGCTTGTAATGTTAAAAATTCCAACTGTAAATATTTGAACAACATAGATAATAAACGAACAATATTGTTATGTTCAGTTACAATCATTCATCATGCTTTATACTCTTATATACACGGAGATTTCAATGAAATTATTAAACCAATCAAGGTCATTTATGAGTCGATGATCATAATGAAATGGATCACGTAACTATACATTAAAAGTGAAAGTACAAGTTGATAGTGTGGAAGACAGGTGTACTATCAATAGTGGTATGAATAATAAAATACAATAATAAACGTTTTATTGTCCATAGCTCAACATTGGAAGTAGTAGTCGATTCACATTTATCCATATTATGACTTCCATTAATCAATGTGCAAAGTTAGAGCTTTTTCCAAAACCTGCTGGATGTTCTTTCATACGTTAGTTAAGTTGCCTGATAATGAGCCCGATCTAGCTATCTCCACGAGAGTAGCTGAACATTTAAATGCACATTGAGGAGATCGATTCCGAGTAACTTATTCTCTGTTTCAGTTAACATCACTGGTCGACAAAAAATATCAACGCAAGAATGGCTACGTAAAATGTCCAAATCATTACTTTTGTTAATCGATCATGCAGGACATTGCTAGTCACATCCCTTTTAAATTGTAGTTGATGGAATAGAGGTTAATTTTGAATGAATGAATAGTCACGTAAACTATTACATTATATATATATATATATATATATATATATATATATATATATATATATATATATATATATATATATCTGCCCTACTAGTTATTCGATTGAGAAAACAAACAATAAATAAAAAAGCATTCATATGTTTCATTGAAATTATCAATGTTATATCACCACCACAAGAAACCTGCGCAGTTTCGTCCCAGTAATACTCATCAGCGGCAGTGCACATCTTCGACCGCCACTATCTGAAGTCGAACTGTGGTGCGCGCTACTTATAAGTAGTATATGACGCGAGTGTAAACGTAATGTCTGGCAGCAGAAGATGGGGGAAGATCAAGAAAGGAAGAGTGGGAACACAATGGAATTTGTATGAAACGCATGAATAGTGAAATGTCAGACAATCGATTGATGATGGATTTAAGATTTGCAAATTAACGGTTACGATATGGTTTTCTTATTTTACTGAGTAACTCTATAACTTTGGTTAAATACAATTCGGTTGCCCTCACCTGTGTTCTCCTTCACTACAGAACTGTAGAAAAACCTTCGGTATCACATATGAACACTTGATTTCATTCATTAATATATATCTCTATCTCTTCCAAAAAAATTCATCTTCGTGTTTTCTAGGCTTGAAGTGTATATACGCAAAATATTTATAAAATGAGCTCTACTGACAATCGCTTACACATTAAAAAAATCTTAAATTTCTTTTTAAATAATCGTATATTATGTGTCAAGAATATTTTTTTCAAAAATGACGTTCATTAAAACAACACTGGTCATTGTAATATATATATATTCAATAATCATAACATTCAATTATAAATTTTTAATCCTAATTTCTCACATTAGCGTACATCTGCATGGAGTACTATAAGTAATTCAACTAGACGAACACAAATCAGTCGATCAGAAACCACACCACATTTAAATGGTAATCATGAAAATGACTTATTCTCAATGAATAATCATCATGCACAAAATAATACAAATAATCATAATCATAATCATAATCATAATAATAATAATTTTCCACATTCACAACACAATGGTACTGATTATCCAACATTGAATCATTATACCAATCATTATACAAATAATCATCAATCACAATCTTATTCATTTTATCAAAATCCTGATCAACCTCATTATCGTTCATCAGCTGTAACACCAACTTCATCAGAATTAACTAGTTCAACAAGTCCACGATCTAGAAGTACTGTGTACAGAGTACATTCTGATCCATTATCACCTGTACATAATAATAATAATAATAGAAGGTAAGTAGTTTATTAAAAAATTTGATACAATCTTTTTTTGACTATAGAATATTTATCTTTTTTTCAATACAGTCTCATTATTAGAAGTTATGATTATTAAGTTGTGTAGATGGTTGAGTTTTGTTGAAATCACGGATTGATCAATGAAACTGAGTAATTTTTTCTGCAACCCAGTAATGACAATTATTAAGTACATATTAGTGTTATGTTCGTCACTAGGTACGCTTGAAGCTATTACGAGTTTACCTTAGTCGATAAATGCGAACGAGACAATTACCAGCTTCCAGATAGGCTACCATGAATCCCAAACTGCAAAACAGAAGACTTGGTAAGCGTAGAAAGTATATTCTACAAACATCTAGCAATCACAGTACAATCAAGCATACAATTCTCGTTTATTTATACATCATTGAAACGTCCTTGAGACAGTTACGAAAATAGCACACTGAAATACACAGCAGCCAATCACAGCCTTGGATTTTCCTGGTGGGAAATGAAATCTTAAGATCAACTGATCAGCCCATGCTGGCAAACGTGAAATCCAAAATAAGGCATTTATCAAGCGAATTTCGGGGATCTAACATCCCCAACAATTAGTGACCAGCTTCCTGATAGAAAATCTTTGTGTTCCTAGTGAGAAAGCGTCACTAGTGGAGTGCTACCAAGTCGGGTGTGAGTTAATTAAGGTTTCGGGGCAAATATACGGAATTTCTATGATTGTTTATAAAATGTGATAAAAATACTAATTATTTTGATGAAGTTAGGGTTTTATTGTCTACTTGTCTATCTGTCAGCACTTGAAGAACATTTCTTTCTTCTTATGAGACTCCTTGTCAGTGAGTATCCACGACCTTACAGGCAAGAATTGAATTCAAAAGTTTCAAATTTACAAGTGTGCATTATCGAAGAGTCGCATTCTAGAGCGAAATGCCTATAAAGTACTTCTGGGTTTAAAATTGTTGTATAACTGAAATCGGTTTAGTATTTCAATGCAAACTGTCAATATTAAGTCACTATTAAAAACTTAAATAAACATTTTATAACCGATATGAACAGAACTGCATCAACAGTTTATGGTTGACTTGAATTCGAAGTAGGGCTCATTACTTTAGTGACCCATGAGTCGACTCTGATATTTACAAATATTTAAATATACAATGAAATAAATCTCCTCTTCAGTTCACAAACATCATACTTAGCCGAACCATGTTTGTGCAACGGCAGTAATAAGAAGCCAAACAGGAATTTGGTTGAGGGAGTTTATATTTCAATCATTCATTTAAGCAGACAGATGTGAAGGAAGAGCGTGCGAATAAAGCGAAGTGAAATGGAGAAGACGAATGAGCTAACTCGGGAAGAATGGATTAGTTAATCTGTCTGAAGCATATGGGAGAAGCCCTGTAGGCTCAACTTAAAAGTACATGCGCTACAAGTTCTCTTACCATAACTTTAGTATCAGCATTACACACAGGATACATTTGTGAACACAGATCTATTGCTCACATTTAAGACTTCCGTTGTATTCTGTTTTCTTTAGCAAGTGATTGTCAATAACTTTCACATGGTATCCATTTTATTTCACCGTATTATGGAATAAATTTGCTTCTTATTCAATTGTATCTTAAGAGCATGTAGTCTCGATTTCAATACTGATATGTGTAAACTATGTATTTCATTATGATAGAGAAATAAAACTACTGAAAACTTGTATATTGACAATTCTAAATTAGGAATAAAATAACAACATCACAATTTAAATCATTTTAAAATTGAATTAAATTTCATGCCCAAGTGCACAAGTGAATAGCTCTCTGAACTATAGTATCTAAGTGAATAAAGTGGTATCATTTGAAGTGAACGGTACTTGATTCAAGTTCCAGGATGAACATCAATTCTAGGAAAAATGATGCATTCACCTGACAAATTCGAAATAAGAAAAAAATATGCCTTTTGAATTTCACTACTACTTATTTCTTGTGGTTAGCGTTTTATTGGCAAGTGAGTTTATTGGTGGGATGGGGTCGCCACCCTCATGCCCAACCCTCCTCCTTTGTCCGGGCTTGGGACCGGCAGAAGCCCCGAAGGGCCAACAGGCGGAGTTAATTTCACTGCTCACCATATTCTATTAATTTTATATAAACTAATATAAAATTTTTGTATTGGCTAATCCAAGTACTTTTGTTTTAATTAAGTTTTTGTCTTACTGATCTATCTACTGCCTTTGTAAGGCTATTTATACTAACCATAAATTTATTTATAGATGTTATCTTTGATATTTAATGTAATAATTGAGTTTTTCATTATAACCTTAAATTCATAGAAAGTTGTGCATTGTTCTAGACTTGACAATTTTTAATAGAATTAAATTACCACAATGATTAATGCATACAGAAGTAAATACTATAAATTGATTGATTATTGAATAATATACTGACCAAATGATCAATAAATATCTTCATTTTTTATTGATTCGTCATCACTCAGTGATTTGATCAAAGTGAATTCTTCACTTATACAGTAAATCAATGTCTAGCTAAATAGCTTGATATTAAGATTAAATGATTTAAGATAAATTTACTCCAATTTGGATAACAAATAGAGTTCGCTGAAGATTAAAAGTAATCCTTGCTGCCAAATACCAACTAAATCATGAAATCTAGGTCAAGTCATGTCTTTTTTTCCTCCTTTTTTTGACTATGTTGATTAATGCAAATAAAAGTAGGCTAAATGTCAATGACCATGAAATCCTATTAATAAGATTTACTTTTGAAACAATTTACTAAGATAAGAAATCAGTTAGGGTTAGGGTCATAGGATGAATTCATCGTTATTTCATTGATGAACATTCATTCCGTATTTTATAAGAAATTGAATTGGATATTAAATTATTGATTTTTGACTCACAGAGTCAGTTGTTTCAGGTTGGTGAACAAGAAAGCAATATTCAGAGATATTATCTATTTCTTGTATAAATTCATGTAATCCATTTGGGACATAAAATTGAAAACTTATTTTTTGCTTTTGTTGATAAATGATTTTTTTTCTCAATGACCCAGAACTAAACTTGAAATAGTCACCCTACAATATTATGGTGTGAAGAAAGATACATATCTAAGGCTAAATAAACAGGAGGTCCAAACTTGAGAACTTCAAGTTAATTAACCATTAAGTCATGAACTGTTCAAACTCGCTAATGAACAAATAAACAGACGAAACCTGCCTATGTCTGTGCTTCATTGAAATTTAAAATAGTATACAGACAGTTGTGTTACATCTTATTGTGTTTAGCAATTTACCACCCTCCTATGGGGTGGTTATACCTAGAATACATCGGTGAAAATCTCGGTTGTTTCTAGTGTGCATTTAACGCAGAACTGACCTCCAGGGTAACTATGCTTATATGTATATCACGAGATACATATAGTGAGGTAATCGTGTGTTTATGATAAGCAAATAACATACCCTTACTCCTGGTGTGCTACCTCTGCTCCAAAATCCTCGACATTATAATTCCTCACAAAATATATTTATGGGGTAGGTTGGTATGCCTCAGTCGTATACCTCTTTCCAGAAATGTCACTTAAAGCTTTATCAACCTCTGTGGTTGGTACGCCACCACTAAAACAACATCTCATTATTACTAACATTTTTGTAGTAGTTAGTATGAACAAATGGAAAGGTAATAAAATTTGTTAAAGTAAATAAGTCTCAATGAAAATGATTGAATCAATTAAAAACAGAAACATATTAGAAATGAAGTAAAATGACAAGAAATTATCTAACTATCACATTCATTTGTATTAGTTGTTGAAAAATTCTCATTGATATTCATGACTGCAAATTAGTTTTGCTTGGTAAATGTGCCTCGATATTACCATTAAGTCATAAGTATGATTAACACAGATTGATAGTAGCTAGTAGTGGAATCCAGGTTTGTTCTATTTGCAACCTATCTTTAGCTGGATGTACTTGTATCCTAGAAGTAATATTCACGCTAGGAAGCGAACCCAATAACAACATTTCATGCGAATTTCATCGCATAATCTACTTAGCTACTGAGTCTTTATAACCTAGAATGAACATGAACGCTAAGATGCAGGCAAATCTAACAGGCGAGTCCGAAAAACGTCAAAGTGCTCATCCTATATTCCACCATTAGCCATCATCTGTCTCTGTATATAAAAACACTATTGTTAACAATTTTGGAGAAAAACATTGGAATTTTCTTTAGATAGATATTTGATTATTTTGATGATGTATTCATAAATTTGGAAAAAAAATGTAACTATTGTATTTTTGTTTTATATTTTCAACCACTAATACTCAAGAACTCAGTTATTTGTGCTCCTTTCAAGTAAAGGGTTACTCAGGAGTGGGTATCGACAGTTCTCTTGAGGATCTTGGATACTAAAAACCACTCATTATAACAAACTATTACGAATCAACTACCTAGTATTTATTAGAGATTTATGGTTGCACTTCAATTACGAATCATACAGTGTGAGACCACCGTTATAAACCTGGATAAACTGTACGGTCGTTTCGTCCTAGTATGTAGTGAGCATCCACGACCGCCGCATGCGGGAACCAAACCCCAGACTTTTGGTCTCGCACGTGAACACATAACTCCTAAACCTCTGAACCGGCAACCAACGGCATTAATGTTTAACTACAATTAATAGACCATTTTGCTCGACCTTATCAATTTTCTTAGGTGTGTAACTGCTTCACACTCAACAAGGTTAAACTCTACCGATGATGGTTTCTCACTAGATCTTCGGGAATTTCCTCACGAAGCTGATCACTAGTGAACACATCGTTAATCAACAAATTTGTGTCGGTTTATAAAGAGAAACTTTTCCGTATTAAACTGATTTCCATAAACCCCCCAAACCGAAGCCATTTTTAAAACCAGTAGGTTTGATTCTATACAGACTAATCTAAGTTTGAGTATAATGTGAATTTAATAAGTATCGGATAAGTGTTTCAGTTCAGTATAG